AGTGTTCGTGTTCGCTACGAGAACTGGCAATGTACCGAGTCGAAAGCTCCGCGGAAATCGAGCAGTCTTACATCTCAGGGTAGTTGAAAGCGTCTTCCCTGTTTTATTTTCTTCTCTAGCACGGTAATGTTATCCGTACATGAGAGTCTGGTTCGAAACTCTGTTTGATTTGATCGAAACGAATCGCCAACTGTGTTATTCAGTCTTCGGGGGCGGATTCTCGCGAATGCCTTTTCTAACACAGACAGAAGCGTGATCCCGCGTTAGTTGGCGCAGTCAGAACGGTTCTTCCGTTTAAATATGGGAATGATCACGCCCTGCTGCTAGTTCTCAGATATTTTCGACTTCCGCCAGATGCTGTGAAGGGCCAGATGAATCTAGTTCAGTAGGGTTTGGCCTGGGCATTTCAGAATTCCCCCTCTAATTTTGTCGTTTACGCAGGATTTCGAGCTCCTACAGAGATCAGGATTCCACTTTCGATGGAACTGAACAGTCAATTTTAAGTTCTTCCCGATCTTCTAACTCTATTTCCAGATCATCAACTGGAGCCAGCTGATCTAGGAGCTTTTCAGCCCATCTTCTTCAACGGCTATTTGAATCTGGAAGGGGCTCGTTGGACTTACTGCGAATCAAACAAATTGGAGGCTTATGTTTGCCGCCATTGGTGATAATGTTGATATGTCTGCACAGCGTCTTCTAGTCCTTCTTCGAAACCGCCAGTTGAAACTTCTGCGCTTCGACTTCCACCCAGTGTTGCTTGTCGCAACGATGATTCCTGTTAACTACTTTCACGAGATACCGATACTCCCTTTGTCGTCTCTTCAGGGTTCTGTAGAAAATCCTGTTTCGCCGTTTCTCTTCATTGGCTAAGAGTCAGGGTTTTTGTCGAGAGTCACGGGTGCTAAGTCTTTTTGCTTAGGCCGAGTATATTTGCTGCGATACCCTGTTGAGCTGCTCGTACAGCAACTCATAGTCCCGGCAGGCCATATCTTTTACAGCAGTGAATCTGCTCTTGATCAGGTCTTGGAACGCCGCACTTGTTCTGGGACCTTTTAGCTTGCTGGTACCGAATCTGGCATTCGTCTTTTATGGTGCTGTTCCAGTAAGCTTTGATTTACGGTGTTTGTTAAAACCTTTGCTTCTGTTACGTTTAATCACATTACAACTGTTCAATTTTTGAAATACCTGTGTTGCAATATCACGCGCTTCATCCGAAGTGTCACTACTGTTGGTGAGCCCTGAACGCAGATCGATATTCTTCCAGTCTTATCTCTTCTTCAGCTCTTTTGCAACGTGGTTGTACGACAGCTCATTCAAGATGCCAACCCACTTGAACTACAGCTGACGTTATCGATCTTGCCCAGCCTTCATCCACTCAGCAGATTAAGAGAAGTGAAGCACTTTACGAGGTTTTGTTCACGGTCAGATATGATTGGCCAGTCCTGAGTTTCATCCTTCTGAGGCGGATTCCTGCATCACTCACAGACTCCCCTTCAGCAGGAGTGTTGTCAGATAATAATGTCATTTTCCGTTAAGAACATCGCCTAATAACGCGGCTAATATCAAATAATGGCAATGAATCGTGAACATCAGTCGAAATTTCAAAGGAAGATACGTTCGAAAGGCTCATGCAGCAGTGAGTTAGTTGCTTTGTCAGAACGAGATATTAACATTGTAAGCTGCTAAAGCAACATACCTTAATTCGGCATTCATTGGCAACTTTAAGAAAATGCGGTTTCAGTCAGTTCGTCATTTACAGCAGAATAGTTAATTTTCGGAGGAGCAAAACAGAATAACAGTGCGTTTTATTTTCTTTGATAGTGGTCTGGCAACAGCAACGATTCAGACAACATTAACAATGGTTTGGTAGGAAGAGAAGCTTGACGAGTGTTTTTCATTGTCTTTCATTGAATCGGGACATTGCTGTTCCCATGTCATGCTGCTTGAAGGTCATTCAGTGCCAAAATGTGCCGTTGAGTTAACATCTGAGTTTTGGTGTACTTTTTGGTCCTTTGATTTATTCTCATAGGTCTGCGGAATTCGACGAACCAAGCATTTTTTTCTCTAATTGCTTGCCGAGGAAACTTTTTCCCGATGCATGCTCGTTTGCAAAGACGCGGAAGCGTTAAACTGAAAAATGTTCGGTTTACTTTTGCACAGCTTAATATTCAAGTGTATCAGGTGATGCGTAGAAAGCTTTAAAACATTCTAAACAGGTTGATAACTCGTTCAGCGATTGTTTTTGCACTATACAGCTTTCCGACACGTTGAAATTTCTGCATTAACAGCATGAAAATTTATTTATGCAAATGTACTCCTTTTTGAGGCTAATTGGGAATTCAATTTTCGATTCGTTTATTGAATTTCAATGCCGGAAAACATTTCACTTACGCTAAGTAGATTGTCTAAGAAATTGACGTTTCGAATTGTTTCTCACTGTCCCTCTTATATTAAAACATTTCTCAGTGTTCGGTTATTTAAATAGATTTAGTCTCTCTTGTCGCACCCGTTTTATAAACTGTTTAGCTCTATGGACCTGTTGACATTGTCAGTTGACAGAATTGGTCTAGGAAATTTAATCTGCTTTACTAAAGCTTAAGTGTAGCTCTTTATTACTATTAAAAATAGGTAGATGTTACTCAAAACTTAGACATGAATACAACGTGTTCATTCATTAAATATATAAGAGGCAAACTACTTCCTCCAGCTGTTTTTGTTAATTTTTTTAAATTTATAGCCTAAGATCTGTGGAGCATCCAATTACTGTTAAAAGTACTTGCTTCCATTGATGTAATCTGATTTTAACGTTAGATAGCGTTTGTGTAGATGCCTCATTTTAGATGGTAGCCATCTATATTTATGTCATTTGATATATGTGCATTTGTTATACATCATGAAGCAACGCGTGATAGCGGTACTGCCCATGTTTGGAAAGGCAGAGATATGCGCCATGAAACGATGTCACACGTTTACAAAATAGTAATTCTTATACTACATCGCTGACAGTCTACTATACAGCTCTATTGGAGCTGAAGGTAACTCGAATGATATGATGCTATCAGTTACTGATGCATGGAAGCCTCTTGAATATGGTACAATGCACCTGCCGACCAAACATTACAGAAAGAGCACTACTTGCTAACACTGGAGAATGTACATAAACGGAATCAAGATCATTGGACTACATATCTTCAGATGGAAAAAGTCATTAACCAGCGGAAGTACGGTTTACTTCTTGAGGTAAGGAACTGTAGAAACAGGTTGTCGCAATTTACATAACAGTTTACATGTTCGTTTCAAATGCCCTAACTTTTAATTCAGTTTTAAAGGGTTTGAAACCTTGATTAACGCGATTCCGTAAATAATCGAATTTCCTCAGAAATCGACGAAAACCAATGATAATCCAGTCGCGGTTTCAACCCCACCATAGCGCGTCACAAACTGCA